ACGAACGTAATTAATGGAGATTATGGTTTAGGTAAGACATTTATGATTGCAAGGGGAAAACTGCCATTCTATCAGTATGTGAACATATACGTGAAAGAAAACTATGTGCGTTGGAGATATACACTGTGTACATATTGTTAAATTATAACTTTTTAAATATTACATAATATCTTTTTTAATTTCACTATATTTTTATATCAAATTTAAACATTTAAAGATTTTTTATTTAAAAAAATTGTGTTTTGAAATTTAAAATGCAATTGAAAAATATTTTGTTTCACATCTTCTGATGAAAAATAACTTTCTTTATTATTCATAAATTATTTACCTCGTATTCCTTCTTCTATACGCAATGTAGAAGTGAGATTTAAATTTTAACGATATTTTTTTTGCGAATTTAATAAAATTTATTAGAATTATATCGATAGAATTCAATATTATTCACAGGTGTCGGTTGCGATATTAAAAATGGAGTTACACCGAAACTATGCTAGCATTAAAAAATAAGGCTCTGCATGGGATTCGTCTCTATTCTTTCGCACGTGCATTTCCCGATACGCCATATGGCCGCAGATAAAAACCACATGCCAGAGTATTCCCATGAACATCGAGCCGACAGGTACAAAAGCTAACATGTGCCACAACTCACGAAGCTTAGGTTCAATAATTCAAAATTAATATCCAATTTTTAATGAAATATTAATTTGTTATTTATATTATAAATTTTTATATTCGAAATTATATATATTTTATTATAGCTGTCACGATCATTTTATAACGATTTAATCTTATAAATTATTTCACTTTAATTTAGGGATAATAAATTTTATTTAACATTATAATCCTTATTAATATTCGGTCCAATGTGATTTTATAAATAAAATGCGTTTTACAGCTATACATATTTTAATCAATTTTCTACATAAAGTATCTTTTAGTTTTCAATCGTTGGAATGTAATTAAAAAGAATTTCCCTCGATGGTTTATTTCCAGCATATAAAAATGGCATACGTGTACCTTGTGCCAATATTAGTTTAAATATTCAATACGAATTCGTATCTTTTTTTACTCGTTACACGGAGTACAGATGCAATCCACGTTTTACACTCACATTTTATATCTCTCGCAATTTTTTAATTATTCAAAGGATGAGGGACGTGTCGACAATTTTTTCAACTGCGAACTTTTCCAATTTCCGATTCCACAATGTTATCCTTCTCTTTTTGGAAAAACGACTTCTTTCATACGAAATATTATACGTATTACGTCGAAACATTTCCATATGAATGACAGAGAAAAAAATGATAAATTTCCATCTTTTGCATCCAAATCTTTTATCATCCATATCATTGAAACGTTGTTTCTATTTTACTTTTCCCGTGTTCCCGTCGCAGTGATAATTATTATTTCGTTAATAATTATTAAATCGTTGAAAATAAAAGGTTATATAATAATTGAGATCGATGTCGATACTGGAGTTTCGTCGCGTTCCGATTTCTATTGTATTATCCCTGAGCGAGCAGACTCATTACCATTGTGCAAAATCAATCATTATTCGCTCATTATCATAGCTGGATCAATCGTATCGAGAATTGTTAATCGTTACGATTTTAATGGTAGAAATCCAAGTAATGGATTTTATATGCTCCTTTTAATTCTTCGATATCAATTAAAAATTTCCAATTATAGCATTGAAACGCGTAAAAATCAGCTTGTCCTAATAGTTGATCGACGATACTTCACTGAATAATCGATTTTCAGAATTTATCGACATATCGGTATTTAATGCATTAATAAAATAATTTATTTTAGTAAATTACGATTAAATTTCATTTATATCTTAAGAGAAATTTTTTTTAAATAAGACGAGTGTGTAAATAAATATGTAACAAATAAATAATATTTAATATCTAGCATTGAGTTAGTTATTCGAAGAAAAGTACCAAGAATGCTTTAAGAACAAAGTGACAATATTAAAAATGCTTCAATGACAAAACATGTAAATCTTTCACTCACGGGATATCTTGATGAAATTAATATTACTATGCGAAAATGTTTTAATTCATTACACGACAAAATTTCCAAACTGACAGCTATAAAATATAACATTCGAATAATACCAGAAATTGTGTTATTGACAAACCTTTATAAATTCTAACGATAAATTAGAATCGACAATGGTAAATAAAAAAAAGTAAAGTTCCGAAGACAAAATCAGGAAGATAAAAGAACAAAATTCTTACTAAATATTGCCTGTCTAAAATCGATAACAAAAATATCATGATAAAAAGATGAAAAGTATAGCAGGTAAGGAACAAACGTTATCGCGAAGATGCGAAATTCTGCACCAGTCGATAGATATTTGCATACGAATGTTACCTCAACTTCGGAAGAGAAAAAGTGTTAAAGGAAAGAATTCATCGTACCAGCATGAGAATGCATACTCTTCGCAAGGTTCCTCTTTCAACATACCTTGCGTCGCGCTGCCTTACACAATAAGTACTCGATAAACTATAAGAAACGATGTAGTAAGGAGGAATTTCTATTGTTAAGTTAGAATTGAGAACGTGCATAGTAATCATGCATACTGATATCCTGATATTTATGTTTTCTGTTTTCGAAAATATTTTCCTAAACATTAAACTTCGTATTTTCTAAAAATTCTACTGATAATTGAACGAATGCAAAATGTAATTGTAATGGTATTAGTTATAATATTATTGTAAGATATTACAGTATTACAGTATTATTGTAATAGTATAATTTACGAAATTATTTTAAAATTATGCTTTTCATTTATTCCGTTAATTTTATTTTATTGTAGATGAGAGATTTTATTCTGAAATTATCTTATAGATTATTCTTTTATTTCGTGATTATTGCAACAGATTATTGAAAGTAACTATTGCAGTTTGATAACTTGTTTTGTTATTTTGGAATTAAATAAAAGCCTTCATTTTGAAATTATTTTAATATTATTTTGTTATTTTACGATTATAAAAATTACTGTAAATAATTGTTAGGCTTTAGTAATTCAATTAACTGATATTCGAACTTAGGTAATTAACCTGCAGGAAATTAAATGCAAAAATGAAATACCGAATAAATAATACACGTAATTCGAAATGAAAGAATGTACGTGACTTAATGATCCGGGTGTTATTGCTCTCATTAAGTGGGAAGAAAAATAAAGAAGAATCTATTTCAAGTTCGAAACTTGTTAATCAAAATACACGTGTTTGTTCTCATTGCTATGAACTTTGAAACGAATATATTAATTAAGAAGGCAAATACTTTATGCTTTATTACAATAAATCTATTTTCTTGTGATACACGCCTAATTAGCAATTAGAAAAGAGCAATACACTTTCGTTTTCGAGTATGTAGTTTCCAAGAAAAAAATATGAATTATATTTTCTCGTCACTTTCTCATAACTTTTACTAAAATTATTATTGCAATACTATGTCATTGCATTTCCTAGTTATTTCTGATTCAATCATTCTCATTATTATTACTGCATTGTTATTTCCTTGTAACCCTTTTGAACCTGCACTTATCATGCCAATAAATTCGTTACACCTAAAGTCCACCATACTTGTCCAAAAATTGCGTCTGTTTTGCATCAGGAATGTCTCACATTTTAAATAATAAATATCATTTCGATACGTTACTCGTTGTCATTTTATTTCACGTTCTGTTTCCCTACGAGAGGTAACAATTCTGTCAAAAAATCGATTCGTTATTTAAATTAACGAGTCGATCCAGTCCCCTATAGGCTAAACAGGGTGTACGTAGGATATACTGGATGAACACTTCCTATTCCGAATATCTCAAAACAGATAGAACTATTTTTATTCGGTTTTTCTAATCCATCCTCAGCAGCTCAAGAAATATATGCGACACGTAGGGAACACGTGGCATCGACATCCCGATGTCCAGGAAGCGAATACGAGAACAGATGTTAAAACCCCAGGTTCCCCGAAGCGAACATTTCCTCCAAAAAACAGAAACGATTTGAAGATCGCGACACATGCGTTAGATTCTATGCTTATGAGGGATGGATATACGAAATTCACAGCTACGGTTAAAAATGGAGGTTACGACTAATTACGTTCCCAGCCTGCATCCAACAAAATGGCGCTCGTGAGAAGAATTTCCTGTAAAAATTCTGTCAATTATTTACTATATAATTTCCTGTTAAAGGTTGTCCCAAAACCCACGCAAGATTTGAATTTCGCGCCATTCGTGCGGTAAAATATTTTCAAAAAAGAAAAAGAAAAAGAAAAAGACATTGTGACAGCTGACAGTTTAGTGTTATTAACCCTTTGCGGTCGGCAGATTTCGGCAGAGCAAATTTAACGTTTCGCAGTTACTTTTCTGTACAGGATTTAAAGTCGATATATGGATATTAAAACGCACAGAATTTGTCGAAACCGATTTGTGTTTAATGCTACTTATAATACGTAAATATGCAAAATTTTTAATTTCTCTAATTTTCTGTGTTTTTCGACTTGAGAATGTCGACCGCAAAAGGTTAAAAATTACATGAAAGAACAACGTGTCTTCATTGTTGAGCAATATTTACAATTTTGAATTAAAAGCCTGTGTTTTCTATCAAAATTACTTCTTGCGTGAATTTTGGAACACCCTATATATAAATTATGTAATATCATTTCCTGTATGTTGGAATATTACTTTATTATACGTAAGAAATTTAATGCAAAGTCGTTGCAAAAGATGTAATAGGCACACAAACCAGGTCGTGTAATCACGTAAATTGATCCATAGATCGCGATGCAGGAGAACCATCGGGTATGCATCGATCGCCACAACCTCGCCATGTCAGATCACTCGACGCTGTATTTATATAAACAAATAATATACGGAATTGCGTTGAATCGTATTTGTACACTTTCTGGTCATACCTGTATCGAATTCTGAATATTTGATAGAATCGTCGAATAAAAATGGAAAAGGAATGTTGCATTTAAGGACTTACCGAGAAGTGTCTAGCACCGACGAGGACTGGGTAGGATTTATCTGAAACATAAAATGCGTTGTGTTATTATTGTGAATTTGCTGCAAATTCATCGTGTAATTCAGTAATAGCCACTACAACAATTATATCTGCATTGTATTATTTGTTGCTCGAATCGTATTAAATTGCGTATCCAAATTCGCATCGCAAATTCATGAGTTATGATAGAGTAAAAATCGAGGGGAACACCCTCGACCTGAATAAAATTGATTATTTTTACGGTAACTTTGATGTTTAATCAGCGAGATAGCAAATATTAAATCAACTGATAGCGCCCACGCTTATCGCAAATTTAATGCAAAAGAAGCGTGAAACTGTTCTGGGTATATTTTTCTTACGTACGCAAATTTAAAGAACGAATTAAACTTGACGGTTACGCTTATCCAGGTAGAAGCTGAAGATAATTAACGACCGTCTGATACTTGCAACAGTATCGTTGAAAAATGATGAAAAGGACAAGCTGTTCATTTTTAACAAAAATATGTCGTACATTTATAATTTTTATCATATATTTAAAGGATATTTTTTCGTAGCAAAGTGTCATCTTGTTTCAGATTATTCTGACATTTCAAATCTATAATTTTAGATACAGGATTATTAAGAAACTTTTGAAATAAATAATTAAGTACGAATAAGTATGATCATGAGTAATAATTAAATAAAGCAGTTTTAACTTAAGGAATATTTAACCTATCTTTATTGTCTTATTTATGCATCACGAAATAAAATTGATCACTTTGCAATATATTTTTAATACAATCCCCACGTCTTTATTTTGTGACACCTTTTCGTAATTAGTTGAGATTTAAATACAGGAATAATGGATGACCGTGCTTTAAATAACGAAGAGAAGCAAACCGACAGAGATGGAAAACGGATGTATTTTAAATTATTCTAAATAAAGTTCATCAGAAAATCTACAATTTTATTTATTTAAAACCAATAATTTAGATTAAATAATAATTTAATAAAAATTTTATCCTACGTTACTGTTCCACAATTTATCTAATTTTATTTTCAGGTCACACGAGTTTACTTCCCTGCTATAAGAACATCGACTGTCCTCCTAGGCCAATGGAATTAGTTTTCACATCAAAGAGAGTCACTTTGACAGATAACTAGATGAATTCAAACTTCGAATTTCGGAGTTCCAATTCCAACACGCTTTTATATTAAAAATCATAATGATAATTAAAATCAATATTCAGCATAATAACCAATCTTCCTTAATTTTACTCCTCGTTGACTTGAAATTCGTACACGAGAAATAATCACTGTGTTTCGTGTTGGTATGAAACGAGATTGACGAAACTTTAATTTATTAAATTTTACGTTTTCGTCAAAATTAGTAGTTGAAAATTAATTTCTATATTCCCGTTCAATCGAATTAACATCTCGGACAGAAAAGAATAAAAATGATTAAACTAGAATTATATGAACAAACGTATACCCAAATAGAATTGATGACTAAAGGCACCCAAAAAGATCATAATAGCTGTTGCAATGCATATTCCGTAAAATTATCAAGTTTCATCAATTTCCAAATTCAGAAGCAACTGCTGATCGCTAAATTAACCGCGTGATTAAAATTAATGATAATTAAATTGTTAGGAAAATTCTGAAATTTTAGCCGAATCGATGTTTCAGTCGACAGGTACCCGCATCGAAAAATTATGCAACAGCATTTAACGCTAAACCTACCACGACCTAAATAAGCATTTTCAAAATTGCACTCCGATTATTCGTTTTCGCGAATTTTCTTCCAATATACATACAATTGATTTTCCGACATTTTCCCTGTCACATCTATTTCAAGCACCTTCTTCTTTCATTTCATCGTGGTAGATTTAGTGTTAATAAAATTAAATAATTATAATTAAAAAACAATAATTATATATTTCATTTACTACTCGTATCGTTTATCGATTGAACGCTATTTTCATCGATTTAGAGGAATAATAAACGATTGAGAGTGGGGTGTGCAATTCCTTTGCATTGAAACAATAATCTCTTCCACAATTCAGAATCGATGATCGACTAAAGATAAAATTTACAATTACCTTCCAGTCCACCCACCTCAGGAAAAAGAAAAGAGAATAAAGACCGGAAAGATCGATTGGAAAAAAGAAAAGGGAATAAGCTTCTTATTTCCATGGATATTCATATGGTTCCCAGTCGAAAGTTGGCGATTCACTGTGGCAAGACTCGAGCACGAGGAAAAATCGGGCGAAAGCTCGACGAAGAGAAGAATCAACGATTCATTACAAAGGAATCCCCAAGCTACTTGGCTACGTCTACGCGCCCCATAAAAATGCGCACGGTGCTTTATATCGAGTGAAACGGTTCCCACGACACCCCGTGCGCCGCGCTCTATGGGAACGTTTTATTGGGGTGAAATTGTACGTGTCTGCAGTTACTCGCACGCACACACCAACACGATGAAAAGGTGTCCCTCGTGGAGAGTTTGATCGTAACGGCGAAAACTCGTAACGTGTAGATGCTGTTCGAAAATGGAAGGCAGGTTCATGGTGGACATTTAACGAAAGTTTAATCGACTCTGCCACCATGGCACCTTGAGTTTCGCTCGATAATCGAAGAAAAATCACGATCTTTTAAGCACATCGTTATAGCGATTTTCGAAGCCCTTTTCGAATTTGAAAATATAGAATGGAGAATAGCTATAGTGGCTAGCTATAGTGGGTCACACATCGTGCGGTGTGCATCACCGGTGGGTCATGCTTGAATATTGGATCAGAAGTTACATACCATTAAAAATTCACTTTCTTTAATAATTGTGAGGAATCGTCATATTGTTGAAAATGTAAATAATGGAAATTTAATGTATATTATTTGAAAAAAGTAGGATTTATATTATTTTATCTGAACGTCGTAAACATAACTTTGAACTACCAACAATACTGCCCATTAAAAATTTAGTTTCTTTAATAATTCTGAGGAATCGTCATATTGTTGAAAATGTAAATAATGGAAATTTAATGTATATTATTTGAAAAAAGTAGGATTTATATTATTTTATCTGAACTACCAATACTGCCCCGCCCGATGAAGCGGAAAAATATGAAAATCGGCCCCAGCCTGAACGTATTAAATGCAAATACAACCTATGGTCTATGGCAGTAAGGAGTGAACGAAGAAATTAATTTGTCATGATCGCAAATATCGGCTTTAGAAATATCATTTCTATTTCTTTTTTGGTTTTGTTTCCATTAGACGTATTCACATAGATTTCATCCTAATTCATAAGATCGTTACTATTACCGATTTCGCGAAACTGTCTATAGTATTGCTTATTTCTCATGTATATAACTTCGGAGTACGTAATTTTGGAGATATTTGTTAGCTATGGGGTATTTTTAAAATTCCTTTTGCAATTACGAATTTGACGATCTCTTTTGCGTCATGGGACATCATCGACATGATTGGAGATTGTTATAACGCGTATTTTCTCGTGTACCAGCAGCGTAGTATAGAAGTATCGTGCATGAAATTAAAGACATCTGTTATCTGACTCCAATTTTCAAAGTTCTGTTTCAAGTTTGGAAGTATAGACAGACTGAAAGCTATTGTAATGAGAAGTAAGGTAAGGATAGGTTGAACTGGTTTCGAGTTTGACGTTTCTGCATCATGGAATACCATGATTGACAGGACGTAATTACGTGGTGTCGGAAACTGTGGCAAAACTATTATTTCTTATTGCAATCTGTATATATTTATATATTAATATATTAATACACGTGTATATATTTATATACTAATATATTAATGTACTTGCATATAATTATATATTAATATATTAATACACGTGTATATATTTATATATTAATGTATTAATATACTTGCATATAATTATATATTAATATATTAATATACGTGTATATATTTATAGATTACGTGGTATCGAAAACTGTGGCAAAACTATTATTTCTTAGTGCACTGTGTATATATTTATATAATAATATATTAATGTACTTGCATACAATCATATATTAATATATTAATATACGTGTATATATTTATAGATTACGTGGTATCGAAAACTGTGGCAAAACTATTATTTTTTATTGTAATGTGTATATATTTATGTACTAATATATTAATATACTTGCATATAATTATACATTAATATATTAATACGTCTATTAATGATTGCGTGTCAATTATATATACATATATACTAATATATTTGAACCCTGTGTCTATTAATATACGTGTATATGTATATATATTATTATATTAATATATGTGTATTAATGGACTTTATGTCAATCATGTATACATATACGTTAATTGTATTTCAATTTATTAAATAAGTACCCTTATTAATTCAAAAGAATTGTTTCGTTACTCGAATTCTAAATAAATAGATATAAAATTGATTTATCACCATAGACGAGGTATAAGATGTACCTAACACTATATTTTTCGATACCAAACAATGCACTAAGCAATAATAAATACGTCTTGCATCAAATATTTTGCTATTTAAGAATTTTATTTCCTAATTCTGACTAATGTTCAATTTGAAATTCTTACAATACTTTACTGAATATCTTTCCCTGCAATTACCTTCGAAATTATTTAATTTTGCAGCAACGTGAGAGATATCTGCATTCATTAAGACCGTTTCTAAATAACGCGTATCATTCTTCGGTCTGAATGTGCATCACGGTGCAAACTTGCTTACAGCCTGGAAACGAGTTCGCAAAATTATTTCTCGCTACAGTGTTGTACTAACGAGAGTATATATTAGCCGGAGCTACAAGAATTTTTTCTCTATATAAACGCATGAAACAGAAGTTCAGCGTGAAATATTCTGTTCGCCAATTTTACGTTCGAGTACCTTTCTTGATACAATTCTTACTCCAGTCCCTTTTTCTTACTTTCGCAAAATGAAATGCGATGAAAAATAACTATTTAAGAGAAAACGAGATACAAAAAACGTATATTCCTGAAAGAGCTAGAAATATCTTAAATATTTAATTAGACATTCGAAAAATATTGTCAATGTGATCCAAGATTTTAGATATAAGCTACTCGGTTGTAAAAGATACTTGAAGTATTTAAAATAAAATAATAGAAAGTAATTAATGTAAATAATAATTTGTCTCCTAGAAACAACAAAGTACTTATTCTTTTAGCATCCATATTCTACTTCCGATGACCCATAAAAATATCATATAATTCCCATATAATTCGATATTATTCCATAATACTTAGAGCATATAAATATAGCCTGAAATTAATATCTCTCTTTATATTTACAGCAGAGTTCATTACCGATTAATCTGTCTTATGATAGCATTATCATTACTAATAATACCAATACACCAACCTACTTACAAAATGGATATATGCAATAATTAACCAGTAAAAACGTTTGATAATATGAAGACGAAAATTGCAGTCTGAAATTTCCCTCGTGACAATCATCGAACATTAATATTCTCAGCACAGTGATCCCTAACACCCGTATCTACCTTGCTCTGCATTGAAAATTGCTACATACGCGAGTACTGCATTTGGACGAGCATTAATGGAAGCTTGCCCTGCATCAGAAACAATTAGTACGTGCACATAACGAAATTACACTTTTACCACAATCGACGTTACGTTATTGTTCAAAATTGTGACGTTATATAATGTACTCAGTGCATATGTGCCGAGGTCACCATGGTGTGTTAGACCAGGGTCAAAACAACGTGTCCTGTATCTATATCAATCGTAGTTAAAGTGCATGAGTATCTTGCCGAAATGAGAGCTGGTTTGTAGAATACAATGTTTGAATAATAAAGCACTCTGGAGAGGAGAATGGTGATAATATTGACCTAACTGTATATAGAAATTAGATATGTTTATCTTCCATAGCCACTATGGAGTAGGTGGCTTTATTGTAAGCATGGAGTATGTTTGAATAATGATTTTCTATATATCTCGTTTTTTGTAGATACATGAGAAGAATCTCGAAAAATCGAATATTTGCATTAGATATGGATCTATTTAACGTTTCACGTGCCTATCAGATATAGGTCCTCAACGATTTCAAAATGCTGCTTTGAATAAAAGTTAGAATAATATAAGCTGAAATATTTAATAACATTTACTTAAATTGTATTAATACAAGATAAATAGCGCAATTAATGATTAACTATTTTGAAATATTTTAATTACAAGCATGTTGACTCCTAATATATTTTTGGTTGAACCATAAATTTTGAAAGACCGGTATAAATCGACAACTATTGTAATGGCAGTTACATCATTTGTTTAAAAATGAAGATAAAATAATTTTCAATGAATAAATTATTCTCTAATTAACACATCCAATTAAATGAAGGTTCGTTGAATTGCTAGAATAAAAGCTGAAAATACTAAAACGAATCGAAAGGAAAGGCTGTAAAATAATTTATACAAATTACGAATAAAATTTGTGCCGAAAATTATTTCTTCGAATATTTACTGAAACATCGAACGAAAAGGTGAACATACGCGAAATCTTTGATTATAGAATCATAACAGAGCAACGGATAAGAAGGTTGGATAGTTCATCGATAATATGTTAATTACGAATTTGGCACCGCGTTATTTTAATTAGCTATGATCATACATTGACACAAGTGTCGAAAGTAAGGCCCTTGACGTACACACCATTTTTGTAAATCCCACAGTCTATATAAGAGCAAAACACGATTTATCGAAACTATATTAAGCCACGAGTACGGAGAAATCAAAGATGGCGAGATCAGCGGTCGTTCTTTGTCTCATTATCGCCACTGCATACGTAAGTGAAATTATTACGCTAGGGATTAATCCGCTTTGACGCTTATGAGTCGAGTTGAGCGAGGGTGGCTGCGATTGGGGCGAAAATGTCAACGCAATGTCGACATAGAGCTCTCGAAAAGTTTAGTGCAACATGGGGTTGCAGAAGAATTGAAGTTTCAAATAGAACTTTCCCTTTCTTCCAATTTTTCTAACTCCTTTTCTTTAAAATAAATCTGACGATTACGTTGTTGCAAATAAATATGAACATTTGACTGTATACAGTTATATGTATTATAGGTCCAATTACCTTCCTCCATTCCCCCAAAATTTCACAAATACCGTAACAAATTATCGAGTAAAAGAAAAGAATATACACCAATTTTTCGTTGGAGTGTTCTCATATAAGCTTTTAGTAATTGCCTCGACTACATATTAAAATTATAGTATTGCAAATTAATCATAGAGCATTAACTATGTACAGTTACTAGTAATTACTTTCTTCGAAAAATTTCATTAATACTGTGACATTTTCGAGTGACAGGGAGAGTTTTAGATTCACTTTATGGAACCTTTAAAAACATCTCCGTCTTCGGAATTGAAAATTTTATCTGTAAGAAAGTAGACCTATAAAATTACGTGCAAATTTAATTACCCTTTTCTTATTTATATTCAAGTGAATGTCATTCTATAAGTTGAGAAAAAAGAATTAACTTACAACTTAATTCAACAAATTAAAATTTCAATTGTCTCACGATATACTCGGCAAATACTCTGTATATTTATAATTGAACATCTTACAGGGTACAAATTGTGATACCCTGCTGCACGAATTCGTATTATATAAATTCATGTGACATAGAGATCTATTATGAAAAACTAAAAAGTCAATTACTTCATGAAAGACTTAATCAAAGTCTTATTCCGTGTTAAAACAGAAAAGGAATACTAATTAAATAAGTCACAATAAATGTTAAATTAATGAAGGGACAGGATATTTCCAGAAGCATCTCCCTCTGTCTTATTTCAGGCCAGCTTCATTCCACCACTGCCAGGATTCTTAGACCCAATAAAGAGAATACATCAACTCGAAGAACAGATTGCAAATAAAATCAACGACATCACACAACACACACGTAGTCTCTTAGATCGATCCACGCAAGAAGCTTATTCTGAAGTAAATCATGTGAAAAGAATTGGTACCAAGATAAAAACGGAAGCGCGTCATAAAATTAAGAGTATATTAAGCGAAGTAAGTAAAAAACGAAAAAGAAAAGAAAAATAAAACAAAATATCCAAACCAAATATTTCACGTAAAATATGGTAAATGAAATTTGGAGTTTCTAATGTATATAAAAGATAGAATACAAATTATAGATAAGATACGAGTCACCGGTGGGGCTGAAAGTATTCCTACTTATAAAAGTTTCAGTAATATAATTGATAACTTTCACAAATCACATGTTATCCACATGTCGGTTGGATAATTTCGTTACAGATGAGAACGAGTTTCCAATAGATACTTGAATGGAATAATTTATTTTACATCCTTATATCTTTAGGTAGGCGCTAAAATCGATATTCTGAAGGAACAGACAAATTGCAATAATGTCGATCATTGTATAGAAATTGTAGAAGAATTACATAAAGCAGCAGACGATATCAATGGACAAGTTAATGCATGCGTTACATATAATGGAAATAAAGCGGTTCATATAATGCAACAAATTAATCACAATTATAAACATCTTCTGCATACCCTCGATGATGCTAGTAGACGAGCAGCAAGATGTACTGCATCTACTGAATTCTTTCCTGAAATCGTTGAATGCTTAAATACCGTGAGTACACAGAGCAATATTATATTTAATACAATAACAAACAGCAAAAATATTCGAATTGTCAAAAGACAACATTAGAAAAGGATAATGCGAGAAAAATAATACCAACACTTTAACATATTAAGAAGCCAAAAGTAATATTCAAAGCCCAACTAATAGAATTGATAGATGTAACATAAAATAATACGAAAACAAACAAATTTTAATGTGTAATAACAAAGATTTTATTCCTATTTCATTTCCTAATCAAAACAGGTAATGGCAAGGACAATAAAACTTTCAATCGAGGAACGCTCTAAGATTACAAAAGATACACTGAAACTGATCAGCCACATTAATGAAATCAAAAGATCAACAAGTGGTTGCACCAGAACAGATATTATACCAAAATTAAAAGAACGTGCACGAAAAATCATCGAAAAAGTAAAAGAATGCATCTCAGGTACTCGTGACTCTACCACACAGATGCCTACATCTAGAAGTGTAAAACAACCACTATCAAGTTTTACCGAAGGACCAATTATATGTTGCAAACATAAAACAGTGACCATTTCTACACAATACCCTGTGACCAATCCCACAAAAGAACCACCATCCAGTACAACGGAATTACCCGCATCTAGTAGTACGGAACCAATAGCTACCAGTACTACTGAGCTACCTGAAACTACTAATACAGAACCAACAGCAGCCACTACCACAGAGATTCCCCCATCAAGTAGTACGGAACCAGTAGCTACTAGTACTACTGACCTACCCGCAACTACTACTACAGAACCAACAGCGGCCACTACCACAGAGCTTCCCCCATCAAGTAGTACGGAACCAGTAGCTACCAGTACTACTGAACTACCCGCAACTGGTAGTACAGACACTACTGAGCTACCCGAAACTACTAATACAGAACCAACAGCAGCCACTACCACAGAGCTTCCCCCATCAAGTAGTACGGAACCAGTAGCTACTAGTACTACTGACCTACCAGCAACTGGTAGTACAGAACCAGCAGCTACAACTACAACGGAGCTTCCTCTATCAACTAGTACAGAACCAGTAGATACTACTTCTACAGAATTACCTGCATCAAGTAGTACAGAACCAACAGAAATCACTACCACGGAGCTTCCTGCATCAAGTAGTACGGAACCAGTAGCTACTAGCACTACTGAGCTACCCGCAACTACTAATACAGAACCAACAGCAGCCACTACCACAGAGCCTCCCCAATCAAGTAGTACGGAACCAGTAGCTACCAGTACTACTGAGCAACCCGCAACCACTAATACAGAACCAACAGCAGCCACTACCACAGAGCTTCCACCATCAAGTAGTACGGAACCAGTAGCTACCAGTACTACTGAACTACCCGCAACTGGTAGTACAGAACCCGCAGCTACAACTACAACGGAGCTTCCTCTATCAACTAGTACAGAACCAGTGGATACTACTTCTACAGAATTACCTGCATCAAGTAGTACAGAACCAACAGAAATCACTACCACGGAGCTTCCTGCATCAAGTAGTACGGAACCAGTAGCTACTAGCACTACTGAGCTACCCGCAACTACTAATACAGAACCAACAGCAGCCACTACCACAGAGCTTCCCCAATCAAGCAGTACGGAACCAGTAGCTACTAGTACTACTGAGCTACCCGCAACTACTAATACAGAACCAACAGCAGTTACTACCACAGAGCTTCCCCCATCAGGTAGTACGGAACCAGTAGCTACCAGTACTACTGAACTACCCGCGACTGGTAGTACAGAACCCGCAGCTACAACTACAACAGAGCTTCCTGCATCAAGTAGTACAGAACCAGTAGCTACTACTTCCACTGAACTGCCCGCATCAAGTAGTACAGAACCAACAGCAACCACAAACACGGAGCTTCCTGCATCAAGTAGTACGGAACCAGTAGCTACCAGTACTACTGAGCTACCCGCAACTAGTAATACAGAACCAACAGCAACCACTAACACGGAGCTTCCCGCATCAAGTAGTACGGAACTAGTAGCTACCAGTACTACTGAACTACCCGCAACTAGTAGTACAGAACCAGCAGGTATTACAGATACCGAAGAACCTGCATCCAGTAGTACCGAACCTGCAGTTACAACTACCACGGGGCTTCCTGCATCAAGTAGTACAGAGCCAGTTGCTACTACATCTACTGAACTATCTACATCTAGTAGTACAGAACCTGCAGCTACCACTGTCATGTAACTTTCGGAGGAACCAGTTGCTACTACATCTACTGAATTACCCGCATCTAGTAGTGCAACAACTACGCCAACGGAACTTCCCATATCAAGTACGGAACAAGCAGCAACTACTAGTACTGAACGACCCGTATCTATTAGTACAGAACCAACAGGTACTACAGGTACCGAAGAACCTGCACCTAGTAGTACAGAACCAGCGGATGGTGCGGGTACCAAAGAACCTGCATCGAGTAGTACAGAAGCTGCAGTGACAACTACCACGGAGCTTCCTGCATCAAGTAGTACGGAACAAACAGCTACTACTTCTACTGAACTATCTACATCTAGTAGTACAGAACCTGCAGCTACCACTGTCATGTAACTTTCGGCATCTATAAGTACAGAGCCGGCCATTGTTACTACTACTTCATCTGAAGATGAACTCGCGCGTCTTATACCAGATTGTGTGAGAGAATTACATCTTAAATTGAAACCGGGAATGGCATTGTCGGCGGTTGAAGCATTGCTGCAATTTGTTGAAGGTTCGAATTACGGAATGATATTATCAGGCACTTTAAAGAGAATGTCACAAGTAGCATCGTACAATACGAAGCCCTTGGAAAGTGCTGTTGAAAGAAATAGTAAGCAATACATCATGAGAATTATTGAACCTGTTATTTGTATGTATGAATGTAAAATATATTGTATTGTATATCTCTATAGTATCATATACAACTTGGTTTAATTTCTATACCTTCTTGTAATAATTAACGCAATCATCTAAAGAACATATATAATAATCTCATATTAACCTCAGAATAATAGGATTGCGTTTCGGCGCCTAAGTACTATGAAAGTCGTTCATATGTTGCCATTTGCAGCTGTCGGTTGCATCTATTGCGGCGCTCTCATTCGGTTTCTCTTAATTCAAAACTGAATTAACTTTTGGTTTAGCATGAGGAAATTAATATGTAAACGGTTCTTTTATGACTTTATTATAGGGTGCAGTTTTTATTAACGATTTTCAAACCCAAAGGAATTTCCCAAATTAACTAATTCTATTAGGGAATAAACAATAATTGCATAATTATCAAATTACTATTATCAAATTTTTTTGTACACGAATAAAATGTTTGACAATGAAACGAGTTCTACAAATCTTCAAATTGAAAGTGCTTACTTCAACTGATTATACTTGTAATATGCAATTGAAGTGCTTTATATTTGTAACGATATACACAATTGTTAGTATATAAATATAAATAAGACCAAATTCTACGAACATACAGATTGTCGAACTGACTTTATTCGAAACTTCCTTTTTTCAAATGAGTCACCTAGCTTGAGTCATGATTGCAATAATATAACGAATGCAATAAAAGTGGTCTATAGAACTGAAATTCGAAGATGTTTGTACATGAAACCAAAAGTGAAAGAAAAATGTTTGAATTGTTTAATTACATTGCAGACGTGCCAGAAAGAGCAAACTACTTGGTGTTTCGATTAAAAATTTCCAATTTATCTTTCGTTTAAAATTTGAAACTTTGTGAATAGAAGAATAGTTTCAGTTCCATTGATTTAATTTATTTTCGTTTCTATGTTAAAACATGTACTTAAACATGTTATATTTATTTTTCTAGATCGACCTATACGGCTAAAAGGCTCCACATAAATAATTCTTATCAATAAATTCGTACTTTTGTCAATATAAAATTGCGAATCTATAGTAGTTCCACACAAATTCATCTATTTCCACATGTAATACATAATACGTATATTTTTAACATTCATCAAACCTTTTAAATTATTCTAAACAATAAAAGTTCCCCTTTGAAATTTCCAAACTAACTAAACCTTCACATGTCTGAATAAATTTTCAAGCTAAATTGAACTCTTGATACCTATAATTCACCCAACATTGAAACGTCATTTATCATTTTGCATCATCTGAAAGTGTGTCACTTATTTTTTCATTACACAAGGCGAGCAAATGGAGAAAAGATAACGCAAAATCGAAATATCAGGAATAACAAAAATTCCTGGAATTATTCAATTTATTGCATGCTGTTTGAAACAGTCGAAAGGGCAACCACAACTTTCGAGTAGTTTCATTTCGGTCGATATATTATTAACAAGTACCATATTGGCTATACATATACGTCAAAAATATCAATGACGTTACACATATATGTATATGTGCCTTGAAGAGAAGTATGTATTGTAATAAAAAAGTACGAAGGTTAAATAACAGTATAAAAGCTATAAAATAAAGGAGGAATAACAGAAAAATTAAAAAGGAGAAAAATAATAGAGAAATTCCAATAATGAAAAAATAACGACCCAAAAATAGAAATAAAAGGAGACAAAAATATCAAAATGGAATAAAAAAATAACACAAAGATTACAATAAGAGAAAGTATTATAGAGAAATAAAAACGAAAACATTAGGAAGATAAAATAAGAAATGAAATAAAATAGTCTAAGAACTAAAGGTGGAAAGCTATATCACAAAAATTAAAACAAAATGAAATACAACTCATAAGATCAAAATTCTTTAAAGCTCGCATAATTACGTTCCAACCAAAATCATTGCAACATCGTTTCACGAAAATCCTAGGCCCAGAATCTTGGACCCCGATCCCAGTACACTCTGCCATTGATCCATCCACGAGACTGAAGGATCCCGTGTAACAAATAATTTAACTGCAAAAACGAGCGAGTAACTGGTTCGTTAACGAAATCTCGGTCGTTTCGTCGGCTTATGTTCATCCGATTGTTGTGGCAGACTCGTTTCCTCGAGCACGAGCCACGATCCTCGAGGGAAAAGTGCTTCATGCCAGAAAAAGGAAATAAGTGGCACGCGAGACGACGTGCCCACGTCCTTCAGAGCACTTCCCGGCACCGTTGCGTTTCTTCCAGCAAGAAGTGCGAAACAGTCGCCGCAGCATCCTTCATCGGTCGAGGGAGATGATGGCAGGGGCGAATGACGCGGGGGGTGATTCGATAGAAACGTTTCGCGCCAAATTATTTCCGGGTTATTCGTTGCAATATCCCGACGAATGGAAATTACGTTCGAACGATGCCGGCGGCTTTTAATGGAAATATTCGATCGAAAGCTTTTAATATATTTGCAATGTTTAATTTGCTATAGCAGTTAAATTCGAAAAAGACATAAAAGGGCTGCTGTGAATGAAAATACGGTTAAGATTGAGTTACGCCTATTATTATGATTCTGACGATATTAACTGTTAATATATTTGCAGGGATTAATTTATACTCAACCACTGACACTATATACTTAACTTCATCAAGGCCGTAGTCACGCGTAATCGACAGCAACATTATTGCTCAAGATATCTCATATTTTATATGTGCAACAAGCATATGTTTTCATATACCTATTTAAACTAACCTCAAAATTATAAGAAATTTCTTTAAATCGGAAATTCAAATTTGAATAAAAGACATGGAGTATACTTGTATAATGATTTTCGATATATTTCCTTCCTTGTGGATACGTGAGAAAAATCTTGAAAAATCGAATATTTGGATTAGATATGGATCCAATTAACGTTTCACGTGCTTATTAGGTGTAGGTTCTCAACGATTTCAAAATGACGTCTTGAAGAAAATGTTACATTAACATAAGATAAATGACGCAATTAATGATTTATAATTTTGAAATGTTCTAATTAAAAGTTTGTTGAATTCTGATATATTTTCGGTCGAACCATAAATAATATTTCGAAAAATATCATTATAAATCGATAACTATTGTAAGAGCTGTTGCAACACTTGTTTAAAAGTCGATCGATCGATTTTGGAAATGAAGATAAAATAATTCTCAATGAAAAAATAATTCCATAATTAACATATCCAAATAAGAGACGGTTCCTTGAATTATGAGAATCGATGCCGAAAATACTAAAACGAATCGAAAGGAAAGACTATAAAATAATTTGCACAAATTACGATTAAGAATTGCGCGGAAAATTATTTCTTCGCATTTTTATTGAAACATCGAATGAGAATGTGAACATACGCGAAATCGTCGATTATAGAATCATAATCGAGCAACGAATAAGAAAGTTGGATAGTCCATCGATAATATGCTAATTACAAATGTGGCGCGGTGTTATTTTAATTAGCTATAATCATACATTGACACAAGTGTTGAAGTAACGTGTGTAATTGGCGAACAGACCATTTTTACAAATCCCATGGCCTATATAAGAGCAAAACACGATTTATCGAAACTGTAATAAGCTGCGAATAGGGAGATATCAAAGATGGCGAGATCAGCGGTCGTTCTTTGTCTCATTATCGCCGCTGCATACGTAAGTGAAATTATTACGCTAGAAATTAATCCGCTTTAACGCTTGTGAGCTGAGTTGAGAGAGGGTGGTTGCGATTGGGGTGAAAATGTCGACTTAAAGTTTCTCTCGAAAAGTTTCCTGCAACAGAGGGCTGTAGAAGAATTTTTGTGCTTTAAAATAAAACTTCACTTTTCTTACAATACTTCTCATTCTTTTCTTTCATCTAAATTTGACGACTACGTTACTGCAATCAAATATGAACGAAGGACTATACAAAGTTATTTGTATTATAGATTCAATTATCTACTTTTTCCTCCAAAATTTCACAAACACCTTGAAAAGTATTTCAGTACAAGAAAAATTGTAAACAAATCTTTCGTTGCAGTCTCCTGATATAAATTAATATGACATAGAGATCTATTATGAAGAGCTGAAACGTCAATTACTTCATGAAAAACTTAATCAAAGTCTTATTCCGTGTTAAAACAGAAAAGGAATACTAATTAAATAAGTCAAAATAAATGTTAAATTAATGAAAGGACAGGATATTTTCAGAAGCATCTCCCACTGTCTTATTTCAGGCCAGCTTCATTCCACCTCTACCAGGATTCATAGACCCAATAAAGAGAATACATCAACTCGAAGAACAAATTGCAAATAAAATCGTCGACATCACACAACACACACGCGGTCTCTTAGATCGATCCACGCAAGAAGCTAATTCTGAAGTAAACCATTTGAAAAGAATTGGTACCAAAATAAAAACGGAAGCGCGTCATAAAATTAAGAGTATATTAAGCGAAGTAAGTAAAAAAGAAAAAGAAAAGAAAAATAAAACAAAATATCCAAACCAAATATTTTACGTAAAATATGGTAAATGAAATTTGGAGTTTCTAATGTATATAAAAGATAGAATACAAATTATAGATAAGATACGAGTCACCGGTGGGGCTGAAAGTATTCCTACTTATAAAAGTTTCAGTAATATAATTGATAACTTTCACAAATCACATGTTATCCACATGTCGGTTGGATAATTTCGTTACAGATGAGAACGAGTTTCCAATAGATACTTGAATGGAATAATTTATTTTACATCCTTATATCTTTAGGTAGGCGCTAAAATCGATATTCTGAAGGAACAGACAAATTGCAATAATGTCGATCATTGTATAGAAATTGTAGAAGAATTACATAAAGCAGCAGACGATATCAATGGACAAGTTAATGCATGCGTTACATATAATGGAAATAAAGCGGTTCATATAATGCAACAAATTAATCACAATTATAAACATCTTCTGCATTAACTTTTGGTTTAGCATGAGGAAATTAATATGTAAACGGTTCTTTTATGACTTTATTATAGGGTGCAGTTTTTATTAACGATTTTCAAACCCAAAGGAATTTCCCAAATTAACTAATTCTATTAGGGAATAAACAATAATTGCATAATTATCAAATTACTATTATCAAATTTTTTTGTACACGAATAAAATGTTTGACAATGAAACGAGTTCTACAAATCTTCAAATTGAAAGTGCTTACTTCAACTGATTATACTTGTAATATGCAATTGAAGTGCTTTATATTTGTAACGATATACACAATTGTTAGTATATAAATATAAATAAGACCAAATTCTACGAACATACAGATTGTCGAACTGACTTTATTCGAAACTTCCTTTTTTCAAATGAGTCACCTAGCTTGAGTCATGATTGCAATAATATAACGAATGCAATAAAAGTGGTCTATAGAACTGAAATTCGAAGATGTTTGTACATGAAACCAAAAGTGAAAGAAAAATGTTTGAATTGTTTAATTACATTGCAGACGTGCCAGAAAGAGCAAACTACTTGGTGTTTCGATTAAAAATTTCCAATTTATCTTTCGTTTAAAATTTGAAACTTTGTGAATAGAAGAATAGTTTCAGTTCCATTGATTTAATTTATTTTCGTTTCTATGTTAAAACATGTACTTAAACATGTTATATTTATTTTTCTAGATCGACCTATACGGCTAAAAGGCTCCACATAAATAATTCTTATCAATAAATTCGTACTTTTGTCAATATAAAATTGCGAATCTATAGTAGTTCCACACAAATTCATCTATTTCCACATGTAATACATAATACGTATATTTTTAACATTCATCAAACCTTTTAAATTATTCTAAACAATAAAAGTTCCCCTTTGAAATTTCCAAACTAACTAAACCTTCACATGTCTGAATAAATTTTCAAGCTAAATTGAACTCTTGATACCTATAATTCACCCAACATTGAAACGTCATTTATCATTTTGCATCATCTGAAAGTGTGTCACTTATTTTTTCATTACACAAGGCGAGCAAATGGAGAAAAGATAACGCAAAATCGAAATATCAGGAATAACAAAAATTCCTGGAATTATTCAATTTATTGCATGCTGTTTGAAACAGTCGAAAGGGCAACCACAACTTTCGAGTAGTTTCATTTCGGTCGATATATTATTAACAAGTACCATATTGGCTATACATATACGTCAAAAATATCAATGACGTTACACATATATGTATATGTGCCTTGAAGAGAAGTATGTATTGTAATAAAAAAGTACGAAGGTTAAATAACAGTATAAAAGCTATAAAATAAAGGAGGAATAACAGAAAAATTAAAAAGGAGAAAAATAATAGAGAAATTCCAATAATGAAAAAATAACGACCCAAAAATAGAAATAAAAGGAGACAAAAATATCAAAATGGAATAAAAAAATAACACAAAGATTACAATAAGAGAAAGTATTATAGAGAAATAAAAACGAAAACATTAGGAAGATAAAATAAGAAATGAAATAAAATAGTCTAAGAACTAAAGGTGGAAAGCTATATCACAAAAATTAAAACAAAATGAAATACAACTCATAAGATCAAAATTCTTTAAAGCTCGCATAATTACGTTCCAACCAAAATCATTGCAACATCGTTTCACGAAAATCCTAGGCCCAGAATCTTGGACCCCGATCCCAGTACACTCTGCCATTGATCCATCCACGAGACTGAAGGATCCCGTGTAACAAATAATTTAACTGCAAAAACGAGCGAGTAACTGGTTCGTTAACGAAATCTCGGTCGTTTCGTCGGCTTATGTTCATCCGATTGTTGTGGCAGACTCGTTTCCTCGAGCACGAGCCACGATCCTCGAGGGAAAAGTGCTTCATGCCAGAAAAAGGAAATAAGTGGCACGCGAGACGACGTGCCCACGTCCTTCAGAGCACTTCCCGGCACCGTTGCGTTTCTTCCAGCAAGAAGTGCGAAACAGTCGCCGCAGCATCCTTCATCGGTCGAGGGAGATGATGGCAGGGGCGAATGACGCGGGGGGTGATTCGATAGAAACGTTTCGCGCCAAATTATTTCCGGGTTATTCGTTGCAATATCCCGACGAATGGAAATTACGTTCGAACGATGCCGGCGGCTTTTAATGGAAATATTCGATCGAAAGCTTTTAATATATTTGCAATGTTTAATTTGCTATAGCAGTTAAATTCGAAAAAGACATAAAAGGGCTGCTGTGAATGAAAATACGGTTAAGATTGAGTTACGCCTATTATTATGATTCTGACGATATTAACTGTTAATATATTTGCAGGGATTAATTTATACTCAACCACTGACACTATATACTTAACTTCATCAAGGCCGTAGTCACGCGTAATCGACAGCAACATTATTGCTCAAGATATCTCATATTTTATATGTGCAACAAGCATATGTTTTCATATACCTATTTAAACTAACCTCAAAATTATAAGAAATTTCTTTAAATCGGAAATTCAAATTTGAATAAAAGACATGGAGTATACTTGTATAATGATTTTCGATATATTTCCTTCCTTGTGGATACGTGAGAAAAATCTTGAAAAATCGAATATTTGGATTAGATATGGATCCAATTAACGTTTCACGTGCTTATTAGGTGTAGGTTCTCAACGATTTCAAAATGACGTCTTGAAGAAAATGTTACATTAACATAAGATAAATGACGCAATTAATGATTTATAATTTTGAAATGTTCTAATTAAAAGTTTGTTGAATTCTGATATATTTTCGGTCGAACCATAAATAATATTTCGAAAAATATCATTATAAATCGATAACTATTGTAAGAGCTGTTGCAACACTTGTTTAAAAGTCGATCGATCGATTTTGGAAATGAAGATAAAATAATTCTCAATGAAAAAATAATTCCATAATTAACATATCCAAATAAGAGACGGTTCCTTGAATTATGAGAATCGATGCCGAAAATACTAAAACGAATCGAAAGGAAAGACTATAAAATAATTTGCACAAATTACGATTAAGAATTGCGCGGAAAATTATTTCTTCGCATTTTTATTGAAACATCGAATGAGAATGTGAACATACGCGAAATCGTCGATTATAGAATCATAATCGAGCAACGAATAAGAAAGTTGGATAGTCCATCGATAATATGCTAATTACAAATGTGGCGCGGTGTTATTTTAATTAGCTATAATCATACATTGACACAAGTGTTGAAGTAACGTGTGTAATTGGCGAACAGACCATTTTTACAAATCCCATGGCCTATATAAGAGCAAAACACGATTTATCGAAACTGTAATAAGCTGCGAATAGGGAGATATCAAAGATGGCGAGATCAGCGGTCGTTCTTTGTCTCATTATCGCCGCTGCATACGTAAGTGAAATTATTACGCTAGAAATTAATCCGCTTTAACGCTTGTGAGCTGAGTTGAGAGAGGGTGGTTGCGATTGGGGTGAAAATGTCGACTTAAAGTTTCTCTCGAAAAGTTTCCTGCAACAGAGGGCTGTAGAAGAATTTTTGTGCTTTAAAATAAAACTTCACTTTTCTTACAATACTTCTCATTCTTTTCTTTCATCTAAATTTGACGACTACGTTACTGCAATCAAATATGAACGAAGGACTATACAAAGTTATTTGTATTATAGATTCAATTATCTACTTTTTCCTCCAAAATTTCACAAACACCTTGAAAAGTATTTCAGTACAAGAAAAATTGTAAACAAATCTTTCGTTGCAGTCTCCTGATATAAATTAATATGACATAGAGATCTATTATGAAGAGCTGAAACGTCAATTACTTCATGAAAAACTTAATCAAAGTCTTATTCCGTGTTAAAACAGAAAAGGAATACTAATTAAATAAGTCAAAATAAATGTTAAATTAATGAAAGGACAGGATATTTTCAGAAGCATCTCCCACTGTCTTATTTCAGGCCAGCTTCATTCCACCTCTACCAGGATTCATAGACCCAATAAAGAGAATACATCAACTCGAAGAACAAATTGCAAATAAAATCGTCGACATCACACAACACACACGCGGTCTCTTAGATCGATCCACGCAAGAAGCTAATTCTGAAGTAAACCATTTGAAAAGAATTGGTACCAAAATAAAAACGGAAGCGCGTCATAAAATTAAGAGTATATTAAGCGAAGTAAGTAAAAAAGAAAAAGAAAAGAAAAATAAAACAAAATATCCAAACCAAATATTTTACGTAAAATATGGTAAATGAAATTTGGAGTTTCTAATGTATATAAAAGATAGAATACAAATTATAGATAAGATACGAGTCACCGGTGGGGCTGAAAGTATTCCTACTTATAAAAGTTTCAGTAATATAATTGATAACTTTCACAAATCACATGTTATCCACATGTCGGTTGGATAATTTCGTTACAGATGAGAACGAGTTTCCAATAGATACTTGAATGGAATAATTTATTTTACATCCTTATATCTTTAGGTAGGCGCTAAAATCGATATTCTGAAGGAACAGACAAATTGCAATAATGTCGATCATTGTATAGAAATTGTAGAAGAATTACATAAAGCAGCAGACGATATCAATGGACAAGTTAATGCATGCGTTACATATAATGGAAATAAAGCGGTTCATATAATGCAACAAATTAATCACAATTATAAACATCTTCTGCGTACCCTCGATGATGCTGGTAGACAAGCAGCTAGATGTACTGCATCTACTGAATTCTTTCCTGAAGTCGTTGAATGCTTAAATACCGTGAGTACACATAGCAATATTATATTTAATACGATAACAAACAGCAAAAATATTCGAATTGTCAAAAGACAACATTAAAAAAGGATAATGCGAGAAAAATAATACCAACACTTTAACATATTAAGAAGCCAAAAGTAATATTCAAAGCCCAACTAATAGAATTGATAGATATAACATAAAATAATACGAAAACAAACAAATTTCAATGTGTAATAACAAAGATTTTATTCCTATT